GGATAAATTAAACAAGATAACAGAGATAGGAAGTACATGAGATAGGATTTGGAAAGAAATAGGGCAAAAAGGTTTGGATCTATTACACAAATTTTAAAGAAAAAATTATTTTTTTTCTAATTTTAGGAGTTGGAGGAGATTTACTGAGTGGACCCTAACATTTTAGTATGGATTTCAAGTTTGGGGGCCAAGGACACACTTATTTGCATTTCTGACCCTGCCTCTAGCAATATAAATAATAGTGATGATGCGTGATTTAGTCGCTCCCTACTAGAAGGTAGCTCGAACATCGGATTAGCTACGTGGTTGGGTCGAACTGCAAGGAGACAATATCAAAGTGTTTCGAGGTGCTTTACCCGGTGTGGGCACTCTAATGCTTAAGTTAGCGATGGAGATTGTAAAGAACTAATTGTTTAAGAATAATAGTAAGTGAGGGAGATCTAAATCGCGCGTATCTTATGAGGTTGGAGGCGAAGCCTTTATATAGGGGAGCTGTCGTGGGCCTCACAATGCGTGTCCGAGATCATCGACCCACTTAACCCGAAGTCAGTTCCGCACTCGAAGATGGACTCCGAGTAAGCTAATAAGGCTTATCCAAGTCCATCCAATTAGGGCGGGATGAAGATAAGATTCGTTGGCATACGACGTGATCCCGATGAGATTGGAGACAACTAGCTCGCTTCTAGAAGTAGGCTACGTGGCACCTTGGTCAGGTCAGTGAGTGTGGCAAGCTGCTTGGGCCCCTATATTGGCTAAGTGACCTGAGATGCCCGAGGTGACTAGGCGGCTATTTGGCATTGTTGTCGTTTCTTGGAGCAATTTCGCCAAATGTGCTACATCGGAAAAAATAGTGCTCTAGGAAACAGGCATTTGTTTGGAACCGTTTTTTATAAAATTGGTGCTCCAAGCCACGCCTCGGAAATCAGGAAGCCATGGCTTGGAGCAACACCAAATTTGACATTTCCTAGAGTTGCAACTCATTGCTACCAACAGGGCAGTGATGTGACACTGGATAATGGGTACCGATGCTGAAAACGTTTCTTGGAGCATTGGTACCAAACAGAAAAAGTTGTTGTTGCTCCAAGAAACATCCTATCTACCAGTAACGATTCTAAACAAAAATAAATGTACCGTTTTCCAAGAAAACGATACTTCCAACCACACATCAGTAACACTGTTTTCTCTGCATCTACAGCATCGATGCCAAACATATACTAGGACTACTGAAGTGTCCAAAGATGCTGAGGTATCCCAAGTCATTATATCACTCCACGTGTCATCACGCCATAGAACGAGCTAAATTATCCCTCCAAATAGTTTTAATAAGTTTTGGGGGGTGAAGGACCCACTAATATATTGGCTCCGATTGTTAAATAAAAAAAAAAGAAGACCAAACTTTTATCATCCAAGTTAAAAAAAGCCCAAAATCCTCTTATATTTCATATCTCTATTCATGTTTATTAATTTTCACTCTCTCTAATTTATACTTATTAACTTTTAACTTTTGACCCTTCTAATAAAAAATCTTTAATTAAGACTGTATTCAATATGCCAAAAATGACCCCACACCACGTGAGCATATAACATAAAAGTAGTCTCCATCTCACTCGAACCACATTTACGACCTATTGTTGAATATTTCTGTGGCCAAAACACCACCAAGGGAGAATGAAGAATCTAAGTATTATTTTATGGGGACCCGACCTACCGGTGCGGTGTTAAAGTTGTTTATGTACGAATCTTCGTAAACCTTTTTAAAAGATTTTTTTTTTTTTTTTTTCTTTAAAGTTCCGTTTGGTTTATAGGAAGATTTGGATAGGATAAGAAAAGATAGAATGGGATGGAAAAGTGTAAAAATTAAATTTTTTAGTGTTTGATTTTATACATGAGAAAATAATAAGAAAAACATGTTAGTAACTACTTCGCCGGAAGAAGAAGAAGGTGAAGGAGGAAGACGGGAAGAACAGGAAGAAGAAGAAGGTGAGGGAGAAAAGAGAAGAGGAAGATGGAGGGAGAGACAGAGGGTAGCAAATCGTCGCTGCCTGGTTCTCTTGCCACCGCCGCCTCTTCAAATCACCGCCGCCTAGTTCGTCGTTCCTTCATCCAAGGAATCCAGTGACGAGGGAAAATAGTCGAACGAGTAATCATCAAACCCAGAAAAAAATTCCAAAATCTGACACGCTATCTTCGGATCCCACTAGGAACATGTCGAAGAAGGACTAATCGATGGAAACATCGCTATCCGCGGGGACTGGTCCATCAGAGACAGATGAAGGCGAGGGGTATTCCAGCGTGGTCTCCGTCGATAAATGATTGGAACGCTCCTTATTCTATGGGTCTGCATTCACAAACTGAGTCGCAACAGCTCGATGGTCGCAGGGTAACAGATCGCCGCTGCTTGGTTCTCTTGCCACTACTGCCTCCTCTGTTCAAACGGGGAAGACAATGAACAGTGGTTCCTTGCCAGTATTTGATGTAGAAAACAGTGAAGAATAGGTCGGGCCACACTGTTCGTTGTCGTTCATCTTCGTTGTTGGAAAGCAATGAACAATGGTTTCTCAATTTTTTCACCGAGATTGCACTACGATTCCACATTTTTGGGATCTCATCAGTCCCATCCCACAAATCAAAGAGAGCCTAATTTTTCACATACCGAAAAGAAGAGCCTAAGGAAGCGTGGAGTTCAATCAGCCCCGCACAAGAGGCGCCCCACAATTCCACAAGGTCTTACAGCACATCTCAGCCGTGTATTACAAACATCTGTCGGTGATAGTATAATAAATGATGAGATATCATGGAATGTGTTGTGGGTTAACAGATGTGAACTACGAAGCTTGGCCCTTCCCCATATGTCCATAACAATGGTTGAAATACAATAATGCCCCAGTCGCCCCCTTCATCGGTTGTAAGACTTCATTTTTAAATAACCAAACAACAGTTACATGCTACCTGAACTCGGAGAAATAGTCTATAAACTGATAAAATTCATAATATACAAAAAAAAAAAAATTGAGTCTTTGTTTTGAACATCTCAACAAATTTCAAAGTCTTAAAATCTAGGGGGTTTTTACTCGTTCAGTCCACCTCTGAAATACTAGTTTTACTGTACAGTTCAGGGTAGGTACCAGCTTGGAATTAATGCTAATTACAGGTATGGGTGTTATAGGTGGAGCTGTTTATAAATTTGAATTGTTGTAGGTTTGTGGTTGAAATCAGAGTTTTGAGGTGGGGTGCAGTGCAAAAATCCCTAAAATAATTCTAATTGCAAAAAAAGTCCTAAAATCTATAGCCATCTTTTACGATAAATGTAGCATAACAAAAAAAAAAAAAAAAACCTCCAGAGTCTAACTAGGATGCATTTATTGATATTTATTTTAAGTTAAATCCCTATCTCAACCAATCATGTTTTTAACATTTTATTTTTCATTATTTCATGCTTTACAAAAAGCATATTTTTATGTTTAATAAAATGTACTTTGGCTGTGTTTAGTTGCAATGCAAATAATTTATACTGATGCAAAACTATGATAGTGCAAATGATTTTAGTGTAAATTCTGACTTATTTTTGTTTGAAATTTTAACTTATTTTGTTTGATTGCACTACAAATAAAGAAAAATAAAGACATAAGGCAAAATAAAGTAAATTAAACAAAAATATGCATTTTTTTTTTTACATTTGCACTCCAATGCATTTGTACTGCAACCAAAGTTGGTACAATTAGGTCAAGTAAAATGGTGAGGTTTGGCTCACTCAACTTGACCTAGGTATTTGCCTATGTTATGACAGTTTTTGCAAGAGAACTTAGAATCTACCATTCCATTGTGTGCTTGGACTGGTTTAGTCCAATTGCCATAGTCAATTTAGTTGGGAGAAATGGAAGATAGTAAATAATTGAATAGATTATGGGTATGAAATAATATATATATATTCTCTATCTATACAATTATAAATGCAATATATGCCTTGGTTTTGGTATAGTCATCATTTACTAAAGCAGTCTTGTAGTTTCATATATTTACTCAAACTTATCATAGTTTGCAGTTTACTAAAACGACCCCTATAATTTACAACCTATTTAATTAATCAGCATTCGATTAGATGGAGGTAGAAAAATGATGATTTTAACATTAACATCTATTCAAATAAATTTAATTAAAAGAAAATAAAAATAAAAATGTTATTATTGCCCTAATAAAATATTAACAAACATTTTATTCCGCTAATTTTGTTTTATATTTGAAGAAGTATTAGAGGGGTACTTTTAAAATAAAAAACCATAAACCCATACCCCTGAAGAAAGTTGATTGCAAATTATAGAGATTTTTTTATCTTTACTTGTGCACGTTCATGGCACGTGCCCACACTGTAATAAGTAATAAATATGATACATCTCCAGACTCTAAGCATTAATGACGAAAAGAACCTTATTCACAAAATGTATTTCACAGAACTACCAACTGTACGGTTCCCATTTTATCTGTGCGTGAGACACACGTATACGGCAAAGATCATGGACGTCTATTTATAAAGGCAACAAAAGCGAGAGCGAATCAGCCCAGGCTGTCTCCCACAACGTCCCACATCACATCCCTTCGTGTATTGGGAACATCTCCCGATAACTCAAGCATATACCACATCAAATAACTCCGTTTAAAAGAAAAATAGAAAAGAAAAAAGAGAAAGAGTCCTCGAATAACTCAAGCATATACCACTCGCCGCATGGCTACTCGAGTTTAACCCAACGCCAGTCTAAATCTAACTCTGGTTACTGATCACCGTCCTTGAAAATGTCTCGTGCTTATCTGTATGGTGACACGTGTAAGATACTAACGGCTAAGATCGAACAAAGAAGATAATTAACCGGCCGAAACAGCTATATAAGAGGCTCCACTCTGCGAACCCTAGCGTCACCTGTTTCCGGTTTTCCTTCATTTCTCGTTGACTGTTACGGTGAGAAAGTAGAGAGCGCGATCTACGATGGCAGCAAACCCTAAGGTTTTCTTCGACATGTCGATCGGCGGAGCTCCGGCCGGCCGTATCGTCATGGAACTCTACAGCGACGTCACACCCCGTACGGCCGAGAACTTCCGAGCTCTCTGCACTGGCGAGAAGGGAGTCGGTCGTTCGGGCAAGCCCCTACACTACAAGGGTTCTTCCTTCCACCGAATCATTCCCGGGTTTATGTGTCAGGGAGGAGATTTCACCGCCGGGAACGGAACCGGCGGAGAGTCGATCTACGGCTCCAAGTTCGCTGACGAGAACTTCATCAGGAAGCACACTGGACCTGGTGTGCTTTCCATGGCTAACGCCGGTCCTGGCACCAACGGATCTCAGTTCTTCATTTGTACTGCGAAAACCGAGTGGCTTGACGGGAAGCACGTCGTGTTCGGTAGGGTCGTCGAGGGGATGGACGTCGTGAAGGCGCTTGAGAAGGTCGGATCTTCTTCTGGGAGGACCTCCAAGCCTGTTGTGGTCGCTGATTGTGGTCAGCTCTCTTGAAAAGGTCCTGAATCGGCGAGTTTCGAATATAGCCTTAATGGATTAGGGTTTCTTTTCTGATGTTTTCTTCCCTCTGTAGTGGTGATGTTCGGATTTCATGGATCAGGGCTCTCTCTGTAGAAACAAGCTATCTTTTTAAATAAGTCTTTCTATCCTGCTTTTGGTAGTTTGTAGGATTTATGAATTTATGGTTTGCTCTACAGTTCTGCAATGTTTCTTTCTAATGATTCAAATAGATGGATCCATGCCTCTGTTTTTAACTTGTCTGGACTCTGGCGTGTATATGGTTTGTTCAAATTCGTGCGTCCTATTAATATGGTTAATAGATCATGGTTCCATCATCAAGATTTCTAAAATGGAGGATAGCATTTGTTTTAATTTTTGTTTTATTTATTTTTTATAATGTAATTTGTCTTTATTCTTCATTTTTTGATCGATTTCATCTGCTTTGAAAAATGCCTCAAGTCACATAGTTCTATTTTATAATCCAATTTTTATGGAACGATATATTTTTGGTAATTCTACGTGAATGGTATTCTCCCTGAACCTGACACAATTCGTCTTTGTGCAATTTTGAATTCATAAAAAATCTGTTTATGCAAATGCATGATTTTTGGCATAATATTTACTAGTATTTAATGTTATGTAAGATTTTTGATATATTCCTCGTAGCTAAGTTTTAGTTTTCGACTGAGTAAGAAGCCAGCTGGCTTGCTGTGAAAATCGTGCTAGTTTTAACTACTCGGGATCGAATCTCTGCCTTGTCTGGTTTGAGGGGCTTTTAATAAAGGATCAATATTCAGCTTTAGTTTATTTTTGTGTTTTTCGATATTGAGTCTTGTTCATGAATTATGATTTATCAAATCCGTTTCTTTCATTGAAATCTTTTGGTGAAGTATTTTTTAGTGGAATTACATATTGTTAATTGTTCATTGTCCATCGATTGTAGATGAACTCAAACATTTGTATTAGATTTATGAAATCCGTTTCTTTCATTTTCCTAGTAGAAATCTTTTGGTGAAGTATTTTGTTGAATTATATATTGTAAATTGTTCATTGTCCATCGGTTGTAGATGAACTCAAAACATTTCTATTCATGAATCGGATTATATTAACGTGAAGAAAGATGTAGAATGGACCGAAACGGTTAGTTGCTGTTAGACACAATAGAACGGAACGGCAGAGAGCGTACGGTGGCTCAGAAGTCAGATCTGACACTTACGAGATGAAGGACCCTGGGTGAGTCTTCTTTTTGCGATATAACAGAAACAGTCCTAAATGGCAAAACCCAGAATCCAAACCCCAAGCAGCCTAGCCTGAGGAGTGGCGACTACTCCGACTGTTCCCACGTGATGTCTTTAACAATAAAAAAACGGATCTATTGGGCAGTGTGATGTTGTCTCTATTCAGAGCCTCGATTTAGGTGAATCAAAATTTCGATTTTCGACAATTCATCTTCATTGCAATTTGGATACAAGCCACAATTGCTACGACAGTCATACTGCTACATCGACCAAACAGCCACATCCCACCACCCTGTATTCGTGCGGATATCCCCATCAATTTTACTTAATCCCCTTTTCGCCGCTCATTTTAATACTCTGCAATCATAAGTGAAAACTGTAAAATGTGATAAATCAAAAGATCATTGGAGAAACAAATTAAGAAAAATATAAAAAACATACATGATGAATAAGTACAAATTAAGAATAAAGAAAACATACATGATGAAGGAATGGGTATATCATTGTAATCAAAACTAACCAGTTTTATCATCCAAAAAATAAATGTTCAAGGTTGACATATAACACATTACTTATATTACACATAATTTTGTGTAATATAGAGAAAGCCATTAGAAGGCGGTGTACATGGGGATTTAGTGAAATCATTAATTTTGTGATAACTTTTGTAATTTTTCAAGGAATTTATGGAACAATATTCTCATATGAGCAGCAGAGCAAATGAATCGATTTGCTTTGCAAAACCAGATCCATAGAAAACCTGGCATGTGTTTTGGGAATTCTCAATGGCTCCCCTGTTACAATTGAACATGATTTCCAGTTGTATTTTATTGTAAATGAATAAAGTATATATTTGATTTATGTTATTGTGGTGTATTTCTGTGTAATATCCTTAAATTGAACACTTAATGAGACTTGTGTTAGTTTAGAATGTTTACAGCCGTTGGATAAGTCTTGGGAGATTTATCCTATTAAGGCTGATATTGATGTGTTGTCAAGTATTGGGGTGGACTGTCTCAGTTGTTAGGGTGAGACCTGAGGTATATGCAGTGTAAGTTTGCTTGAAACCTCGAATCGGGCCAAATTTTCAATATTGTCCTGGACATTGGAGATTAGTAAGCAAAACTGTAAAGTTATACCGAATCCCTAGACTCAATTATGATACTGCACTAGGTGTCGGATTGGGTTGTCTTTGATATGCCAATCAGTGAGATCTTTAACAGGGGTCAAAACCTGGGTATGTTGGGACAGTCTGAGAATTCATCTGAGTGGGTGATCATAGTGACAGGATCAGCCCATTTGTTGGACAAAGGTAATGATCGGGAATGCACTCTCTTTGATGGAAACCAACACTACCGGCAACCGATTTTAATCGTTGAAATTTGTTTTGCAAAATATATTTTATATACGGATATATATATATATTATGGTTTTAAATTGTTTGCAAAAAGGTTTTAATTCACGGGATCCATGTGAGTAGAGAGTGTAATACTGTTCTTTGCAGCCGAGGGAGGGGTCCTCTCTTATCGGGCAGTGTTTGATTATTATGGGTTGAGAGGTTAAGTGTAAGGTCATTAAGGGTTATACCCGATGGACTAATCTTGTATTTGCCCACAGACCCTAGGTGTTACAAGGTGGTTTGGCCTAGAGACCACTTAGTGTAAGTGTTGGGCATATAGAATCCATGCGATGGGTTCAAGGGGTTCATTGGACTTTTCAGTGAATTCGGCTAGGCATTGTAGCAAAGGCTGGGCCGAACCCTTGTGGCTGATGTGTAAATCAATGCTTGGGTCCCACGCTATACAAGGTTCAAGACTTGAACCGAATTAAACCAGATCCGAACCTGCGCAAATGGGCAGAAGGCGTTCTACTCAATTTGCGCAGATTAGGGTTTTTCTAGAAAATTGTTTCCCAGATAATTGATCTAAAATTATTTTTTATAAATCTGGAATTTTATTTAGAATTGTTCTTTATAATTTTCTTGATTTGTGGGCTGTTCGTACAAGTGGAGATCGAATTTTTGATTGACGCAGTGAACTTGCGATTTGCAGTTTATTGATTTATTTATTACATTTGGTCTGTAAATAATTTTTTTTATTTTTATTTTTTAGACTGAATGTATAGGATTTGATCTGATGTAATATTAATAGAAATTTTAGGGTTTCTATTTTATTATTTTTGGATCGAAGATGGCAGCACAGGAAGGAGATTTCGCAGATGAGAAAATCGCTATATGCGATTTGCAGTTTATGAAACTGCATACTGTGATCTATTTGCAGGATGGAATGTGCGAACAACCCTTTGACTGATTCTTGATTTTCTTTAATCAATATTTAATTTCATATCAGTTTCTTGGATTAAATCTTTAATTAAAGATCAAACCCTAAACTCATTCGAACCAGATTGGTCCAAAATGGTTGGACCGAATCTAGGGTTCGATCAAGGCTGATGTCTGCCCTAATTTTCCACTGATGGACCTAAGGATTGATGATTAATTAAGAGTTTAATTCGGCCCAACCTGTAAGGCCCAATTTTAAATTGTTAAAACTGCTGAAAGCCCACATTTGTAGGAAAGCTATATGGGCTGAACTGCCTAACCCTATTCGGCACATATACCTAGATAATGTTAATTGTTAATGTTATGGATTAAAATGGGCTTTGATTATGGGCTTTGCAGATATTTAATTGATTGGATCAATTTATCCCTGCATCTGATGTATGGATGTGTGATGTGCAATGTTCATGGGCCATAAGTACTTGGCCCATCCAGATACGATAGTGGCTTTTGTGCACACCATAGCTGAATGCACATCATTGCCATGATGTCCCTAAAAGATCATTGGATAATCTTCCTCAATGGTGGGCCCCACATCTCCTGAAGATGATACGTGCGGAACCCTAGCTGATTAAGGCTCACCTAAATTTGACTTTATGAAATTCAGTGGGAGCCACTTTGGTTTGACCTAAATTAATCTAGGGCATAACTTTTTGTTCCCTCCAGCAATATGAGTGCATGTGATAGGGAGATTCATATGATGCACTCTCTAAACGCCTTCCATCATTAGCATGAAGATGGGTCATTCAGTAATGAGGAAACACACCAGAAAATGGGATATCCATTTGCTGTTGGATTTGTCTGAGTGTTTCATAAGATGATAGGGGCGTCATAGACCGATGTGAGAGGGGCTTCACCAAAAAATGGGAACTCTCTCACGGTACCTTGGCGTTCACGAATATGATGGGTGAGCACTCATTGGAGAGAAATGTTTAACCTAAAATGACTCTGAACCTTGTCTGACAGAGGCTAAAGGGAAAGCTCATATGATGAGTGGATATGATCATTCATAGAAAGTGGTGAGGTTTTGCAGCTGAAACCGTTAGCTCCATGCACCCTATTTGATTTCCCACATTTCCAGAGACAAGTCATTGTCTCTGTCACTGAGATAGGAGGGAAATCTCAGAGATGAATAATGGGAATGTAACATATATTAAAAGCCATATCTATGTAGATAACATGAATCAAATTATGTTGTGGACTGATGTTTGCTATTTTATCAGAAAATGACAAACAGACAATTTGCAAAGCTTCTTGACGACAACAAGCTTAAGGGCCCAAACTATGTTGACTGGTACCGTAACCTTATCCAGGTCTTAACCTCTGAAAAATTGGATAAGGTGGCCAAAAATCCTGCCCCGGATCGTCCGGGAGATAGGGCTTCTGAGGCCCAAAGAAGGTAATACCAAGAATGGGAGGAGAAAAACTCCATGGCCCGCTGCTATATCATTGCCTCGTTGGATAATCCAATACAGAGGCAGTTCGATCAGATCGAACTTGCCAAAGACATATTGGACAGTCTCAAGACAATGTACGAAGAGTAGAACCGTTCTACTCGGCAGAAAGTCTTGAAACAGTTCATGACTGCGCAGATGTCCAAGGGTCAACAAATTCACGACCATTGTCTTCGGATGATGGGATACATCAACGAACTGGAGGCTCTTGGATCCGGGCTGGATCTGG